TTAAAAATAATTGAGAAGAATTTGCTACCTTTCTATAACATCAAGAAATGGTTAGATATTCTAGTCTTCTCGGATAGGGACGAATAAATGGAGGTCCCGTCTCCTGCAGGGTTGGGGTAGGAGACGTTAATTTCCCACACACGAGATTACTGTGTGATGGATGTCCTCCCCTGGGGTGGGATGGGTGGGATATAGGGCGCACTTAATTTGGAGCCTCGCTCTGTTGTGCGACCCTCACCACACTCTGGTGAAAGTGATTAAATTATTCATGACCGGCAATGACGAAATAACTTGACGTCAGTAACGATGGCAGTCCCCTAAAGATAACTCCAGGTGTGTGATATTGAAAGCCCGAGTTCACGCAGCTATGCGTCCAGTTATGTATGCTTTGTTAGGGGACATCTGTTGGTCATTCGTGCACATTACAGTAAAAAGGCTCAAAATGATACAGAACATCAAATACTGATCTTGGCTTTGAAAAAACAAATCACTAAATTCTTGCAAACAATAGAGAAATGCAACAAAGGTAACGAGAGCTGAGCTTTACTAACTATGCTGTATGAAGGGTATAGTTTTCGTCTGTCCATTTCGCTCTATTAACTGAGTGGTTGACATTGCGTGTATGATTTCTGCGAAACGAGGGAAGTTATAAATAAATAATCGCATTATAAATAATAGCATTGTATAACGGTCATGGCCCAACAAGTGTTTTGAGTTTAACCAGTAAAACAGAGTCTCGCCGGTTAAAATACCTGACAAGGATCTATTGTTCAATTCATGGAAAGCAACAGTGTATTCAAAGTAGATTATGAGGACCTTTGCTTAATTCTCCCGTTGGAAGTAAGCAAAATCTCTTCTGATGTTGGCCTTCAGTTAGAGCCTTTAAGCCGGTTACATCCTTGATTTATTAACAGATACTACGAAAAGAATATTTCTATTTTAGTTCACAATTTGGTGTAGGGAAATCAAGTGTCAACACTGGGCGGAAAGCTATGTCTAAGCCGGAGGGTCGTTCAGTTTGCCATAGAGGCTAAAGTTACCTTGTTACCTTATACTAAAGTTACCTTATACTTAAGTTACCTTATACTTAAGTTACCTTATACTTAAGTTACCTTATACTTAAGTTACCTTATACTTATGTTACCTTGTTAAAGGTATTGACGGCTGTGTATGGGATGTGCAGGGCCTACGAAATAACAAAGAGAAAGACTTCATGTATCTCGCAGACGTGCAACACTTCACATTTTATATTATTTTTACAAAAGAACACGAAAGAAGTCAATCTTACAGTTTACTGTTTAAATATTGATAACTGACACCGTTTTGAGCAGGCAAAATGACCTTCAAAAGACATTTCCATACATTAAAAGCTAGCATTTCATATTGAAAAGCTATATTTGCTTCAATCACGGCTCGCGTCTCTTTCTGAAAAATCCCCCAGCATTAATCTTATATTATTTTGATGTTGATATAAGTTTAGTGTCCCAGTAACATGAGAGAGAATTGACTCTTCCATGCTATTTTGCGACGGGGTCAAATAAACTGTTACTTGATATTCTTTCCTTTACCAACTGACCTTTGTTAAACCATCTGGTAAGATTACGTAAAGATCGCTTCTTTTTTGTTATTTGCACACGGATACACAAATCATCCCAGGGTTTGGCTCACATAACTAGCCTTCGGAAGCACTCATGACCCTTTTCAAGAAAGTTAACCTTAGCCTAACTGTTGTAGCAGTTTGGGTTTATCACTTTAAAAATCACCTACAATTCCTATCAAAAACTATGATTGCTGTGAGCTATAACTCTAGATGGATAACAGCGGATACTATTACGGTCATGGCCCAGAGTTACTTAACCAACAAAGCATGATTATTCATCTTTACGTTACGTTTTGATTTCATACTGGGGAAACTTTCCAAATCTCTGCTTAACGATCGATAAAGAATAATGAAGACACTAAACAGTCCATCCCTTTTAAAGTATTCTAACTCTCAAACATTTTGAAACTGCATTTGATGCGAAATTTGACAGCATATCAACAAACCACAGGAAACAAATACCTTTTTGTGTCATACATTCTAAGAAGAAACGGAAGTCAAAATTGAATAACCACAAATACTATTAAGATCATGGCCCCACATCTGTTGCCACGGTAACCATCAAAAGCTAATAACATAGATCAATCTCGCACGCGCAAGTCTGTCTTTCATTTCTTTGCATGTAACATGGAATCAAAGCAGATCAAATGACACTTTCTCCCTTCATCTCTTTCGTCAACTAATCACAGAAACGAAAGCAAGATGGCTGAAGTTGACCGCCAAGCTCACATCTCTGAGTTGTTTCGTGAATACTACAAAAAGGATCTCACTATCCTTGTCATGGGAAAATTTGGTGTGGGTAAATCTAGTCTAGTCAATGCTATAGTGGGGAAACCTGTCGCTGTATCAGAAGCTCTTTCTGTCTACCAAAATTGTGTCAGTGAAGCCAAGCAATACCTTTGTAAAGTCGTTGAAGGGATTGATGTCCTTGTATGGGATTCTCCGGGCCTACAAGATGGCGAAGAGAAAGACGACTTGTATCTCGCAGACGTACAACAGA